GAAAAGACTCCGCAACTGTACCACGGCTGACTCACCAAGCTGATAGATTGTTTACTTTCTTTTCTTTTTGCTTGGTTTCTCATGAGATTTATCTATTACCGCGACTTGAGAGTCTATGCCACTGTTCACTGCTTTACTAGCAAATAGTTTGCCATTGGTATCTTCGTCATTTGTTCTGATCTCAAGTCCTGCCTCCAGCGTACGCAGTCTCTCTAACAGCATGATTATCACACTTTCAATCTGTTTAATACAAGACAAGCATTGCTATTGTCAGTTACACTGTAAGATGTTTTAGAACCCATTTGTCATCTTATTTGTAAAGAGCAATCTTTTGGGTACGGCTGGATGAAAATAAAAAGGTGAAACAAGATTTACATATTATAATTGTGCAATAAAAATGATTGCTCTATTCTTCTGTTTCATGGCATTGCAGGCTTAGAACTGCTGAATTTGTGGTCATTTCATGTTTTTAGGAGACCTAGAAAATAGCAAACAAGGAACTGGTTGAGAGTGAAGTGGCCCAGGAGGGAATGGTGCGGGGGTTGGTGCATCTCCCCTAATCTCTTTCTCTCTTCTATCCTCTTTCTTCCCGCCTTCTCTTTGCCCCATCCTTGACTAGGGAGCCTGTTCACAGGCTAAGCCACCCTCGGGGAAATGGATAGTGGCTGCTTAAAAGTGGTTGGCTGCTTAATAGAGGTAAAAAAAAATAAAAAATAGAAAAGCCCTCATAGGGACTTTGATCACCGGCTGCCTAATAGGGATGGCCATTTAATAGGTGACCACTTAATAGGGGTTTGACTGTGTCTAAAGAATTTAGATGTACCTTGTGAATTCCCTGTTGAAGGGTCTTGGCTGTTGGAAGGTCAAGAACTTCCTCTCTAGTTACAGTCTGCATCCCATTCACTGAACCAACCTGATAGCTGAAAGAAGCCAGTTTAGATACAATCATGTAATATTATTATATTTATTTATCAAGACAAACTATTCCAGTCAGAATTGCTTCCAAACCTCCTGTATCTTTGATAGTTTGAACTAAGTAATCAGTAACCACAATGATGTACTGCAGTCTTATTACAATATTAGACTGAGAAATTGAAATTTCTTCAACTGATGTAGCCATGCATGAACTCTTGTAATAGCCATATGTGGGGAGGGGGTCCTGGCCATGAACCAACTATAAAGAGAGTGAGTTTTAGGCAAAATCAAGCCGCAGAACCTTAGCATGCCATTACATAAATTTTTGCACCACCTCTGGCCATAATGCACAAAGAAACTGCACACTCGTGTACCCCCAGGCCTGACCAGATTACAAGTTTTTTAACCATTGGCCACTTGTTTATACCAGATTATAGACAAATGAATCTGGTTTGTAAATTTCTACAAGGACCAATGAACAGAGTTAGTCACCTTTTTATGTGTTCAACATCTAAGCAATACATATTCCTAAAATAGGAAAGAGATATGTTATTCACATTATTTAATCCAACTGACTCACTTATTTTCATATGTACATTTTCTAATGTTAATGGCCAAATTATAGACAAAAAAACAAGACTGTTGTTGGTACTTAAAAACATCTGCTTGGAACAAAAGAGGATTGATCAACATAACCACAAAAGACAATGCTTCAACATCAAATAATTTTTATTTAAAAGGCAGCTAGTTTCAGATTCACATTGTGCCATATATCAAACTACAGTAGTTGTGATCTTATATTCAGAGGCATACCTTAAGTGGTCCAGTTCTCTTGGGGTTGTCCGGTAGATTCGACCAATAGCAGATTTACAGGATTTACATTGTAGAGGCATGAAGGTACTAGAGAATTTAACACTAACAAATGTTAGAACTGATCAGGCACAATGTTTTGGTTTAACCCTTTGAATACCAACTACGCATATATGTGTAATTAATGGTCGTGCTCTTTGTACCACTTGTGATGTCATCAATTTAAATGTCATCAGATATTCTNCCTTTCCGCACAATGGTCAGGTTTAGATATTGACGACATTCCGATGTCGCAAATCGAAAAACAACGTTATCAGTTTTGGTGCAAAAACGGTGGTAAAATGGTCCACTATGCCTATCATTGATCAAGGTCAATTTCTAGGCTTTGCCCGTAATTAACATCCATCTTTTCACAGCAGCCAGAAAGAACATACAATGCAAAAGGTAGCCAGTGTAAAAGGGCTGAGAAAAACAGAAAGGAGAGGGGCAACAAACAAAATTGAGAACAGTTAATGGCAAAAAAAAAAAAAGAAGAAGTCAAAATTTTGGCTTATGCGTGTGCCCGGAATTGAAATTTTGGTCAATTTTGTACCTAATCCTCAAAAAAATCTCTCCTTGTAGTAAAAAAAAAGCTTTCTTAGCAAAACTTAAGCTTATTTAGCATCATGGCAGTTAAAAAACCTGACTAAACGGTTAACAATGGTATTTTTTGGCGAAAGTTTGGTATTCAAAGGGTTAAGGATTGCTGGCTACAGTATCAAAAACTCCAGTACACTGCATATTCAGACAGTTAACATGCTCTTCAGGGTTACACTACTGTCTGCATGAGGTAAATATTTGCAGTCTACTTTGGGCCTAAGATGTACACATTTCGGATCATGTATACTAAAGGCATTCAAAGTCGAGTGTCGTTCGATACCCCTCGATCAACCCTTGATTGACATCTTGACTGACATCTCAATCAACATCCCAATCCACACTCAATCAACATCTCAATTAATACTCGGTTGACACTAGACTGACACTTGATCAGCATCTCAATCAACGCTCAATGCCTTTAGTACACATGATCCAATCCAACAAGCCTCTGAATCTTATTTTAATCATTTACAGTACTACAGTGGTATTTTTGTGTGTTCCAAATGTATATTGTTAGCTAGGCAAGCCCTCGAAAGCGAAGATATATCCCTTACACCTCCACTGGCTGCTTACAAGAACCATTCTTANGGTGTTACTCGTACTTCCATGTGCAGTTACAACAGCTCTGGAGCTGCTTCGCAAGCCAAGTGTATGTTTTGGCTGTTAACGGCTCTTAAATACGATTTATTTCCCGAGAGAATTTGGAATATTCTTTTCGTCATTCGAAAGTGGTGTTTGAACTCATATGGCAAATATCTGGGAATCTGGAACGGTCCGCTCAAAATAATACTACGCTTGAAACAGCTCACACAATAATCTCACTGATATCACCGTCGAAATCGTCATCTAGCTCTAGTACGAGCAACAGTGATCAAACTCGTTTTGCGAGTGGAATGGAATGAGACTGTCCGGACGCGTCGCGATCCATTCGACACCAAGAAATTTTCGAACCTCAGCCCGGAAATTTTGGTTGAATGGATTGCGCCCACAGTGTTCATGCAAAGATATAACTTAAGAGGCCTCTACTTGTAGCGAAATGACTCGATTTAGCGCTCTTGTTCCACTTGATCCTCTTGTTCCACCCATGCAAATGGTCGCCCTATTCTAACATAGTCCGCATACTCCACCCAGTGAGTTCACGTGGCGTCATCAAATTCTCAAATTTATCAAAAACTAAAGAGCCCCTAAAGGTTTTATCCTCATCAGTCATAAGAGGTACTAAATTTATATATGTTTACAACTTTCCAGCTCAACAGCGTCCTTCGTTTGGAGAATTTTATAAGCACCCCATCCAACATGATACAAGAAAGTTTACTTACAATTCACGCAAATCACTTCAAGCTCTCGGTCGGAAGAAACCCACGCACAAGAGTCTCCAAAGATGTTATTACAAGCACTGCACTGAAACACAACAGGCAAATTTTCCTCTGTTTTCAACTTATCCACCGCGGTGACATCAGACTCCTCGAGCGAATTTACCGCCATTTTCTTTCGACAGACGAGATCAGCGGTCGGTACGTCATGTAAAACAATAATAAAGCTGATCGTAGCTACTTTCTACTGGTTCTTACATGACATTAATCTCAAAATGAGACTTCGCCAAAGTCTGAAAAAACATGTGGAAAGTATAGTAATTTTCACTAGTCATTCGCGCAAAGAAAAACAGAAAAAAAAAGAAAGTAAACGGCATGAATGAAACTTGGAGAGATGCAGTGTTACTAGCTTTGAGTCATGCGTGCAGCCAAGATCCTTCGCTCATAAAGGAAGCCGAGGGAAAGCTCAAGGCGTGGGAGACCGAACCAGGTTTCTACAGCCTTCTCATGGTAAGGTTGCAACTTAAGCTTGCTTAGTAATTTTATATGACAATTAGTGGCGTTTTTTTCTTTTATTACTTTGAAAGACAAGGGTAATCGTTCATATTAAGTTCTGAAAAGCCCAGTTTAGGAGCTTCTAATTGCAACCAGATAGCCAAGAGCGAAGAAAAAAAGTTACTGTTACCGATCCCCTTTCCCTAGGGACCAGAGGGATAAGACGGAGGGGTGAGGGGTGAGGAGTTGGGACCTGGAGAATTCCACCATAGGGTTTGCCATATGAGGAATATGAACGATGATGGATCCGGGGGGATGCCCATATCAAAAGGGGTGTGAGCTTATATNAAGCTAAGCAATCTCACATATTTGCTCCTCAAACCCCAAACGCGAGCCTGCTTGCAGTTTAGAGTTACACACTTACTATGGCGACTATACAGTATTACCATATTTTGTACATGTACATTCAGAACCTTTCTGATATCAATTCAGTCCAGATGATACTTTTACTTATTACTAAGTCATTTATAAAATGTCCAGAATCTAGACTTTCTTCTGACTGGTTGTAGTACATGTATGTCAAGGTTGTTCCAAATATACATAGATACGTACTTTATTCGTCCCAAAAGGGCTTTTTGGAATAAGGTAGAACTATTAAAAATTAAATTAATTAAAGATATAAATTAAATTTAATTAATTAAAAATATCTATTTGTCTTGAATGTTTTTGTTGGATTGATTTTCAGTGCTATTTCAGAGGAGGAAAAAACTTTTATGAAACAGAATCTTATCACATCATTTCATGAACCAGTTAGTCAGGTACATTTGTTCTTTACAATAACTGAATTTATTTTTAGTTACTCTGTGTCATCATTAGAACAATTTCCATTTGTCTGTTAAAAATCATTTGCATTATTTTGCTTTCATTGGTTGTTCATTACCATGCTAAGTGATTGGCTTAACAGAACTCTAAAAAACTAAATAAAAACCTGAAATGTTTGTGGTCAAATTTGTACATAACATGATACCTTTTCTGTACTAATTCGTGTTCAGCTTTATCTTAATGAGGCTAAATTTTAACACTGATGTTGGCAATCATTTACCTTTTGAACCCAGTAGTGTAATATTTGAAACACACTGAAGGTAATAATTTAAACAGAAGGATTAAACAAAGTAAAACAGATTCATTACTTTATTGTCTTTTGCCAATTGATGTTCCTTTAAATACATAATGAAAAACTTACAAAAAGTGCATTAACTAAACTGTAACTGTTTGAATTATACACAATGAATTTACTGGACAGGTCAGCTCTAGATAAATTGCTTTAAATAGCCTTTAGAAATATCATCTTAAAATTATCGTATTTATTACATAAACTGATAAGTATCACATAAACAGGGACAATTTATTGCATCTACATGTAAATCACATCATGTATCTTAAGCAAATAGTGGGATGCATTTATGTTTATTGTCTTTCTTTGTCTCCCAGGTTGCAACTCAGGTTGCTGTTTTAATTTCTAAAGTAGCCCGAGTCGGAATAAGAGATTGGCCTGAGCTGTTTCCAGCTGTACTACAGGTTTGTGTACATGCAGCTGAAAGTAAGGTTTAATTTACAGTGGAAATTCACAGGCCAGCCCATTCCCTCTTGGGGACAAGGCCTTTACTGTAAGAAGATTTTGTCCAGAATTTATCAAACATTGAATGGCTTAAAGTGCCACTGAAACGAAATTTTTGTGCGTGAGATTTTTGCTTAGTAATAAAGTTTCAACCTTACTTGAAAACACTGCAAACTTTTTTTCGCATACGTTAAGCGAAAACTGCTTCTTCAGCCGTTCGAAGTTGGCTGGTTAAGCCCAAAAATAGGCGGCCATTTTGGCGTGGCCAAAACAGCTTAGTGACATCACTAGTTGTATTACTCTCATGCCGCACTGAAAATTTAGAGTGATTATGGGAGAATAGATTACTGTTCGAAGCCCCCCAAAAAACATCTTAAGGTTACCGTATACCTTCAGGGGTGTCTCGCGTCCAAGCGATGTAGCGCGTCCGGTTTAAGCTGTAGATACCTAAGCCCCCCTATCAAATTAAAGCTTATAGAGCTGGCTATCAAACCATACCAAAAATTTTGAAATAAAATGAATTGCCAATTTTTTCACGGCCACTAAATGCAAGCGT